GAACTGTTGGCACACGGATTAGTAGCTTCAGTGCCTGCTAACATTAATATAAATTTCCCATTGCTTTGGGGCAATCAGGCCCAGACGCCGCAAGCTTTCTCACAGTAATTCAGCTTTCTGAAAAATACTAAATGGGAGACTAAAACATTGGCAAAGTGATGGGAAATAAAATGGATTCTTCAGTGTTCTTAAGTTGCTTGTGTCTTACAACCATCATGGATATTATTCTTAGCAAATAGACTCAGATAATTAAATCTCTGACTCCCTTCCCAGGTAATGTGTAAATTAATATCCACTTGTTGTAAAAAGTCAAACAAAACCAAAATATATACAACTCTGAGGATGCTAAAGCACACAGTTGACATATCATTTTGCCTACAAAGAATGTGTAGATATTCCTATTGAATACAAATTGTTTAACCTGTAAAAAATAATTAATATAAGAAGAACTAGTACTAGGGAACTAGTAAGGGGCCTGATAATGTTTGCTTGGTATTAAAAGTGTGGGATGACACTCCAATGCAAAGGTTTAACTGAGTTAATAATTGTTGCAACGGTAGAACCAGTCAACCCAAAAATAAAACGAAATCTACTGTTTTAAAAATAGTCTGCTGAGAAATCTTACAAAAAGAAGTGCTGCTTAGCAATTAGAAAATACATTTTTTCTTATATAAAGAACATACATTACAAAGACAAGACATGGCTCTCAAACTTGTTAAAATCATCTGAAAGACCTACATACAGATCTTCAGACCTTACAATTTTGTATCAAAAAAGCAAAGAAAAGCAAGAGATTCACGCAGGAAATTACCGTATGTATGACAATAAGCGAAAATTTAAGAACATTTACTTTGAAACAGTAAAGCCTTCTATTCTGATAAGTGTTTACTACCATTGTATGTCAAGAATTATTTCTGCTTGGTAAGCTAAAGTACTTTCACATGGAAAGAAAACATGTGGTATGTAAATTAAGCAATAGCTTCAAGTCTCTTGAATGTTGTGCATGTTCATTCTGTTAGACTTTGTCCTCAGTGCTTGATAAATTAGCTATCTTACATATTAGGAGTCAAAGAATTAAAGAACATCAGCTCTGATTGTGTTGATCGAAGCACTGTATGGCAGAGCTGACACTGAACCACATTACTTTAAGGAGATCCATCTGTGAAACATCTGGTGACTCCACCAGCTAGGGAGAAACACTTCCATGAGTGCCTCACACTTGCCAAGCTTTGGAACATGAGTAATAAATATTCCTAATAAAAGGTGTCATTTCAAAGCAAAGCCAGTATTTTGCCCCACTAGAGTTATTTAGGATGAACGATGAATATGGGGACATACTTCTCTAATGATAATTTTGAGGAAAGTTTGTCCCTTTTTCTTCAGATTCCTATAGTTCATTAACCTAGTTTAAATAAAATTCTGTTATTTAGATCGGATTTATGATAATAAAAATTGGAAGGAGCTTTGAGCGAAAGAAGCTACAGTATATACTTCAGATTCTCTACCCCACTGCATGCAATCAGCTTCTTGATTTTCAGATATTATTTTCTAGCCTTATTTTTTTCCCTTGAGCTCCAAGACCTAACACTAAGGGGCACCAGAGAACTGAACTGCATCTGTTCAGATCCATCAGGAACCAGCTGCTGCAACTAACGTTGTAAGTTATTCACCGTGTTAGGTGGAGAGGGAATGGGGCTTTGGGGGAAACATAACAGGAGAAACAACAGTTCTGCATGACACATTCTCTGTTACAGAAAACTGTCACTGGAAGAGCAAGAGAGCACTCATTTTGGGAATGCTGAATGCCTACTTATAGTTTATCGCTAGGTGTTGAAAAAGAACTCTCACTCTAATTTTCCAGACAAAAGTTGGAAAACGTGTGAAAATATTGCATGACATGAAAATGGATTTTTTGGAGAAGCCACGTATACGTAAAAAAATCCTATCAGATTGACTTTATTTGCTTTGATCCTAGAAAAGTGTAAACAGTGGAGCACAGACTTAGGAATTCATTCTTATATTCAGTTTCACATGAGGTCAGGATACCAGCATTTTTTTCATTACCAATTCTTAAAACTCCACTATGGAGACAAAGAACATCTCCAGTTTCCCCATGGACTGCAAAATAGCCCATTACCATCTCATTTTCCCAACAAGACAACAGGAAAACAGTATTTAAAAAAAAATAATAATCAAGCCTGTTTGCCAAGTGGGGTCTCCAAAACGGACTTCCTTCACCCTGAGTTTGGCTGCCAATATAGAAAAATTATGCAGCCAGTGCCACATATCTCAATACAGCACATTCTGAAAACCTCAGACCTGACGTCAGGAGCCTGTTGCTTATCCCAGTTGGGGTTTTTTTTGTCCCATATTTCTGTTTAAGTCCCTCTATTCCACCACAAAATACAGAACCAAATAAGCAAAATATAATTAAGTAAATGACACTACATATTAGAGAAGCTAAGTTGTTCTGATTCCCTTTTAAAAGCTCGGTCACGGTCTTGTCCAGAACAGAAAGCATTACAAAAATGCAGATACAGTACAGGGCCCAGTATGTCAAATCATTGCAATCAAATCTCCAAGACCAATATTAATAATGTACCATTAGCAGATGGTGTGAGCTGATTGACTGAGAATTGCAAAGATGCATTCTGATTTGAGTACTGTAGACTTTTTCTTATAATATTAGCACTTATTTTTGTGTCTTTAAATAGGCTGTCAAAAGAAAATCCACAGACAACTTCTGCTCAGTGTAGAATTTGACTCATACATCTTTTAAGGCCAGATGAGACCATTATGATAATGCGCTTTGACCCCCAGCATAACACAGGGCATAGAACCTCGCTCAGCAATTCCTCCCTCGGGTCTGCGTCTTCTGTTTGAGATATACCATCTCCTTCTGAAAGATGTCCAGCCTTGATTTATTACTCAAAGTGGTGGAAATTCCAGCACATTCCTTGGTAAACTCACCCTTTGGTTAATGATGGTGTTAATGACGGCTGCAGCCAGAAAAGGTACGAGTTTTGTCCTCCTCTGACACAGTTCAGTTTCATATTTCTTCCCACTACACCTTTCGAAGCTGTATTAGAGAGCTGCCAGTGATCTATATCAGTTTATAGACCATGCCTATGTTTGCTAAGGAATAAAGCCTTCTTTAACCAAATAATGAAGGAAAACCACATTTTGGGGTATATTGTGCACCTTGTTCAAGGGCCACTAGCAGTTCTAAATGGTCCCTTACCCCAGGATGGAGAAAGCCTCCAGAACAAGGAAAGGTATGGCCTCTAAACCTTCCCCCAGTCCAGTGGAGAAATTAAAATATATGTCTTGGTTATACTATGGCCAGATAGCATACGCGATGTCTCGAGAGGAAGACCTTGTAACTCCAGGTCTTCATCTGATGATGTTCAACCTCTAGCTGGTACCTTCTCGTCTCGTGCGGTATGCAAGTTTTTCTGTTGATGTTATATGAAAGTGTGTCAGCAAGCAAGACAAAGGTAACTTAAGAGTGACCAAACAGTACACTTCCGTAATCAAGAGACCCTTCTGGCTGGGCCCTGCAGGTGGTGGTATCTCTGCTGTGGATCTGAGTGGAGATCATCAGCGATTCACCATCCTAGCGGGGGAGTTAAGCCTGGTCTCTCTGTCTCTCTCTCCAGGCAGTGACACCTAAAAGGTGAAACACAAAGACTACCAGCTCACGTGCTGGACCAGGGTTTTGCAAAACTTCTCTTGGGGGAACAACTTGAGGTTTATGGGCATTTTGCTTTCCAGCTCGCTGACTGAAAGACAGGCAGCTGTGTTCAGACATTTTACTGTGGGGCCAAAACCTGCCAGGATCCAGCGTCCGGAGTTTCATGTGCCATTTGTGATTTGCTATGACAAGGGCAGTCACGGCGACAGACCTCTCCAGCCACCATCCTGCGTGGACATGATGTTTCAGGGCCACAAAGGAAAGGAGACCCTGAATGAGAGAGGGCTGGAGGGTGAGACCGAGCAGTCCCTTCGGTGAGACAAGTGGAAAGAGTTGCACCGAGGAGGCCTTTTGGAGGGGCCATGTGGTCCCCAGTGCCTCTCCCACCTCCTCCTCCTCCTCCTCCTCAGGCAGGAGGAGGCAGAGTTGCTGCTGCTGCCAATGCGCCAGGATAGAGAGATCTCGGCGCGGGAGGAGATGACGCAAAAGGCAGAGCTCCCCCCAAAAAAGTGTTTCTCCAGGACGAAGATGGCGGCAACTTAGCCCAGGGGCCCAAGATGCCTGTGCCCATCGGGGGCCCCCAGCCAGGCAGTTCCCCCCATCCCCCTCTTCCTCTTCCTCCTCCTCCTCTTCAGCATCCTCGGCAGCGCTCCGGGATCCCTGCAGCAGCGTCTCTCCAGTTAGAGCGGAGGGGGGAGAGGAGAAAGAGGAGACGGAGACAGCGGTGCGGGCATCTGTGCCGCGGCTCGGGGCTGAGGAAGAGGAGCAGCGGCGGCTGCAGGGAGGAAGAGGAGGCGAGGAGCCCTCCCGGAGCCGTCCGTCGGCAGCGGGAGACGCGGCATGCAGCTGTCCGGGGGCAGCGGGCTTTTCTCAGGAGGGAGATGGGGAGCTGCGATCTGACCATGCCTGGGTGAGAGGGGGAAAGGACCAGCCGCGCAGCCCCGCCACCACCAACTATCACCACTACCACCACCATCTCCTCTCCCTCCTCCTCTCTCTGCGTTATTGCTCTTATCTTCTCCACGGCATTCCGCGTTGGATGGACTGGGGCTGCTTCGTGTGGTGAGACCAAGGCAGAGCCACCGGCGAAACCCGACAATATCTCAGAGGAAGAAAAAGAAGAAAGAAAGAAGAGGGAGAAAGAGAGAGAGAGAGGGAGAGAGTGGAAGAGGGAGCGAGCGAGCGAGCGAGAGAAGGGAAGGCAGGCAAGAAAATCCCCCCAATCTTTTAAGTCAATGCATATTGTGGTGACACTGGCAAAGGAGCCCTCACGGTGGAGTCGGCCAGGGCTGTGCGTTCCCAAAATATGACCAGGGGTGCTTGGATGTGCAGTCGGCAGTATGATGACGGCTTAAAAATCTGGTTCGCGCCCCGGGAGAACGAGAAACCCTTCACGGATTCGGAGAGGGCTCAGAAATGGCGACTGTCCCTGGCATCGCTCTTGTTTTTCACAGTCCTGCTCTCTGATCACTTGTGGTTCTGCGCCGAGGCCAAATTCAC